TTATGCCCTTTTTCCTTTTGATATTAGCCGTCCATTTTGATTTAATATGGGCCGTCCGTTTTTTATTGAATCTGGGCCGTCCGTGCGATTGCATCTGGGCCGTTCGTGCGCACGCTTAATCTGGGTCGTCCGATCGCGCGTATGTGGATCGCCAACGTGGCTCGTCCCCGGTCGACGTGGTCTTACCACGTGGCAGGTCCTGGTTGGCCAGGACTGCTGAATGGTCTTGCTGACGTGGCTGCTGACGTGGTGCTCTCTTTTTTTTATTAAATAAACTTAATAAAAATAATTAATGAGAAAATTACAAAAATACCCATGTTTGGGCGTTACAAGTAGTTTATGCCAAACAAGACAACACACAATATCGGGTTCTCAGTCATTCAACCCATAATCAATAAAACAGTGATATATGCACACGAAATTATGAAATGAAAACATCAGACATCATACTGCATTTAAAACTAGAAATTAGATCAAACAATAACAGACCAACACTGTATCAGACTCGGACTCCATTGGCAACCTTAATCAATTATATATTTATAAAGTCACACAGTACAGTTTAATTATTTATTTAGCTTTAATACCGTGATAGAAAATAGGGTGAGGGGTCTTCACTTGTTTCGGGGTCTGAATAAGGCTCTACAATGCACCTAAAGGTTGTCCCTAATTTTTTCTAAATTTTTTTCGAGAAACTAAAACGCACTACTAGTACCTGGACGTGTCCCAAAAAAAATCACAAATTAGACCTAGGGCCCCTTTCAGCCAATATCACAATTCCGGCACGGCGACGATTCGCCTCGGGTTGGCCGTTTTCGGCCGAATTCGGCCACACTTGCATCGGTCCCTGCGATAGAACAACCCTAGGGCCCTCGGTGGGCTGAAAAATTACGAAAAACCGAAACTTACCGGCGGCGGTGCTCTCGGATGCGGCGGCTACTCCGGCGTGAGTCGCGTTTTGATGTTTGGCTCCGATCAACCTGTAGAGAAAAGAACGGTGATCACCGTGGTGTAAAATTTGCATCAAACGGAGGCCGGGAAGGGCCTCATCGGAGGCAAAAACCGAGGAGGGGCGCGGTGGCACCGCTGGGTTTCGGTTGGGTTTTTCGGCCGTTTGGCCGGTAGTTTGGTTCCGGTTTGGTCATAGGCGGACTCAGTGTCGAAAAACGAGCAAGGGGGAGAAAATTTACCTCGATCGGCGGTCGAAAACTTCCCCGGTGCGGCGGCGGGTGGCGGCGGCCGACTCCTCCGACGTCTGGTTCTTCTTCTCCGGCGAGCACTGGTGGCTAGGGTTTCTTTAGTCAGGTGTGGGTGGAGTTATTTAT